CACTTAGCAGAATACTGGTCTAACAGCTATTGCTAAAGCAGCTTCCAGATTATTAGAGAATGTCTTAGATAAGGACTGTTTTTGCCTGTCAGGCCACTGTGTGGATCTGCCAAGCAAGTTGGACTAAGATTTCTAGGGTGATACTCATATTTATATGAAGGTTGCATCAGGTGGTTAAATCTGCTACCCTAGCCCTCAGAATCTGTTTCCCCAACCTCTGAGTACATTAGGAGAACAATTTGTGAATGGTTTTCTTACTGGCCTGGTGATCCATCAATTAGCTTTCCCTGAAGAAATCTGTTAGGACAGTGCCACCTACTTGTAATATTGGTGAGGCATCGTATGCCCCCATACTTTGCTGCCTTCTTACAGATTGAAGGTAAATATATTAAACCAGCTATTATGTGAATAGTGTCAAAGTTTTCTATTTTTTTCATATATATATTTATAGAACTCATGAAGTTAGAAACTGAGAAACATAAAAGGCTGTTCAATATGGAATAGATTGCTAGTTCTTCTCTAGCATACAGAACATGGACGTTTCCATTGACTATGAATTAATTTGAAATTATCTGAGCAATGTTTGGTGAAGTCTCAAAAAAGAGAGTTAAATTATATAAAGTTATCAGGGAATATTGGTCTAGCATTTTGCCTAATTCCTGTTCATCATAAAATGCACATACTTGCTAGGAGCTGCACAATTCAGATTGCTTTTTATTATAACTTTTAACAGTTTCTTTTAAGGGCAAAATGCATAATGCTGTTTATAATCTTTCCATTTCCTAGAAACCATTAGTTTGAAATAGAACTAAAGGTATGGAATAGCCCCTGAGAGAGAAATGGGGAGAGCCACAATCCTTGTGACTGTGTAATCTTTGTTCAAAGAGAAGTATTATCCACACAGTACCATATTTTTCGGAGTATAAGACACACCTTTTTCCCTCAAAAAAGAGGCTGAAAATCTGGTTGAGTCTTATACACTGAATACAGCATTTTTTGTCTCCTGAAACCCCGCCCCCTTCAGCAAAATGTCTGTGCAGAGCCTGTAGGAGGCTTTCAGAGTACTCCTGGGGGCTGGGAGGGCAGAAATGAGCAAAAAATGAGCCAATTTTTTTGCTCATTTTTTTTCTCCCCACCCCCCAGGAACACTCTACAAGCCTCCTACAGGCTATTCATGCCCTTTTTTTGAAGAAAAAAAACAACAACAACCCTGGCCCGTTTTTTTTTTTTTAAAGGGGTGTTTTGGGGAGGTCTGCAGAGTGCAAAAACTTTTTTTTTAATTTGCCTCTTCAAAATCT